AAAATTTAAACAAATTGATTGTGTATAATGAAGGACACTAACAATGTTCAAATCAATAACGAATCATAATACATCTAAAAATTACAAATTTACACTATATAAGAGGGAAAAAAAACTAGGGGAAAAATGTAAATAATAATGAAATATGTTGAATCACTACAGTTGAGTTGCCTTGTTCAACAAATTTCACGTGAACAAACATACTTGATTCTAGTTCTCTACCTACCTGGGGTCGAACTGTCTTGTTCTACAAATTTCCTATGTGAACAAGTTGAGTTGTCTTTGTTGTTCAACACCTTTTCGATTTGGACGGAGTTGCCTAATGTAACATAATTTTTTTTGACCAATCTCATTCAACCTTTAGCACTCCTAACCTATATAGGTTCAAGTTTCCCTAACCTATATATGGGTTCTCTCTAATAGCTTAAACTTTTAAATCAAACGATTTAAAGTGGTGGTAAAGCACACATAGATACTAAGTTCAAGTCTCACCTTCACATATTCAATGAAGTTGTGTACATGCTAGGTTTTGGTAGAAAGATGTGAACTACATCTACACTTGTGAGGGAGCATGTTGAAAACAAGATTTAAATGATATATTTGTGGTCGCTCATTTCTAATGACTTAATCTTTTAGATCAATTGGTTCAACATTAAATATACAGACCGTCTTGATCTCCAGTAACTCTACCTGATTGGAGTCAACTTATTCCCTGTGCATAAGCCTACTCAGTGTTGCCTTATTCAAAATTTTTCCCACATGAACAATCTTTCTTACCTTTAGTACTTCTAACTAACTAAGATTTGACTTACCTTGTTCAATTATTTACTTGTAAACAATCCTACTTGACCTGTAACACCTCTGCCCAACTGCACCCGAGTTGGATTTTTCATCATATTTCCCAACAAGCCCACCTAAACCAATCCCTGTAACCCTACTGTCAATTGGTTCTACTTGCCGTGTTCAACATATGGGAGACAACTTATTCCCTGTGCATAAGCCTATTTTCCTTTTATTTATTTATTTATATTTTTCTCTTTTCTAATCTATAGGAGACAAAATGCGTTTCCATAGTACTTCCTATCCCAAGCCCAAAAGAGAAGATTCTTTAACCTTGTCAATTGTAAGGTTGAACCAATTTTGTTTGTTAATATTTATTGTCCGTTAATTTCAAAAGGAAACATTACACTAGATAAATAAGAGAATAACCATGAAAATCTGTCGCTTCAAAAATTAAATTTTATGCAATTAATAGAAAGTTAAATATTGCTTGCGAGGTAAATATAATGTTGTGTAGGAGGAAAAGAAGTTAAGATAAAAGGATGCTTGTTTGAAAGTTCTATGTTCATTATTTTTATTACTTATTAACAGAAAATCATGTTGATCGTGCTTTCATTATCCTTTACCGTGGATGTAGTGCCTTGTTTCTTGACCATTTTTCTCCTTTTCCTTCTGCAGGCACAACTTTCTCCTACTACTGGAACATTCCTTTTTCCTTCATGCAATCTTGAGAGCTTATTAAAGTTCAACATTAAATCCAAGGCTCAGAGTGAACTCGATTTGGTGTCAAATAAGTTGACAACAGGAAATAAGGTAATCTGGTAGCAAAGTCATCTATATTGCTGCATAAACTCAATGGAAAATAGATACAAAAAAAATTGACGTCATTAAAAAAATGGTCTTTTGTTTTTTCATTAGATGTTTCCAATAATGTTGATATCACCAGCCCTTCTATAAATGGGGACATTGTTTTAGCCTAAGTTCGGAAATAATTTATAAATAAATAAAAATTAGTGGTGGATAAGTGAATTGTACTTGTTTGTCCGTTGGAATTTATGGTTGAAAATGAAGTTTGAATATTTACAAATGCTTTATAAATTTTGCCAATCGGAACGGCTATTTTTTTCATACAATCTACGATTTTTGCTTTATGGTGTGTAATAATATTAAATCATCAACTGCATTTGTTTCACTGCTTTTATCATTGCTTAAACTTTTAAGAGATGACCTGAAAGTCTTTCGCCCTATGCAGGCCCCTGAAAATTTTAAAAATCCCTCGCATTTGCTTGATGCTGCTAAACGGGACTGTTCTGGAGATGCAGCTGCTGAAACTGAAATGTCGCGAGATAAATTCTTGGATGCTGATTGTCCTAGTTCACAGTCGAACATTACTAATACAGAAAGCGATTATAATGAAAGTGGCCCCAATCGAAATCTTGAAAAGGATCCAAAAGCAGCATACTTTTCTAAGGAAGTTTCCAGGAATTCCGAGGATGGATACAACTGGAGGAAATATGGACAGAAACATGTGAAAGGAAGTGAATTTCCTAGAAGCTATTTCAAATGTACTAATACAAATTGTCCAGTGAAGAAAAAGGTTGAGCGCTCACATGATGGCCAAATTACGGAAATTGTGTACAAGGGTTCTCATAATCACCCAAAACCTCAACCCTTTAGGCGATGTGACTTACAAGAAACTAGTGAAGGCAATGGATCATATTTGCGAGCTGAAGGTAGAACAGCTTGGAGAAACATTGTGCCAGGGTTTAGGGATATGCGGTATGGTTTGAACAGGACGTCTTCCACATCATTTCTACGTGATTTTTCTTATCCACCATTATCAAAATCGATGAGCTTATTTGAACCAGTAGGAACTCCAGAATTCTCATCTACATTTGCCAGTCAAGATGTTGATGAAGATGAAGATGAAGATGAAGATGAAGATGAAGATGAGGCCACTCTAGATAGCACGTATTTAGATGATGACGATGATGATAATGATGAATCTGAGCCTAAAAGGAGGTAACAAATGCTTGTCTTTATGTTTTTTTAAATGTTTTTGCTTGTTATATGATAAACAGACACAAAATTAGCAATTACCTTTTGTTTCAGGAAGAAAGACAGTTTCCCAATCGAAACTACTATGTCATCAAGGTCGACTCGCGAACCTCGAGTAGTTGTCCAGATAGAAAGTGATATTGATATTCTGGACGATGGATATCGATGGAGGAAGTATGGTCAAAAGGTTGTTAAAGGAAATCCAAACCCGAGGTATGTACTAAGATAAAATAATATTATGAAACATTTTAGCCTTCGTTTGGTAAATTTATAAATTTATCATACATCATTTCAACCATGCATTTCAATGGATCCACAAGTACTATTCACTTATCACCACTTTTCTATCTATTTATAAATTAAACCTTTTATAAATACTTTCCAAATGGAGGCTTAAAGACTATTCCAAGACTTGTTTTCTTTGGTTAATGACAGATGACGTGAAAACAACTACTGTAATAGAAAACGAGAAACATGGTAATCAAAAGGCAAAAATATTATCATCTTGAAATTTGTATTTTGTAGGAGCTACTACAAATGCACTACTCCTGGATGCCCGGTGAGAAAACACGTGGAACGAGCTGCTGATAATTTAAAATCTGTAATCACAACATATGAGGCGAAGCACAACCATGAAGTGCCTTCATCCAAAACCGGAAGCCTTGTAATACCTAACGTTGCAAATTTACCGTCTACTGTCACCAACAGTACCCAATCTGCCTCATTGTCACTGCCTCAGAATCCAGGCATGTCAAAAGCTGGAAAGCTGGTTCAAGATCTCCCCTTATACTTAGAAAGGAAGCCCATCTTAAGTACTGAATGCACGAACTCCAGTCTTCTTGGAAATTTTGTCAGTGATATGAACTTCGGAACTTCTTCGATTTACCAATTCGAGTCTGCTCCATTGCGTTCCGTACCTTATGGATCTCTTCTGATGAGCTCCAATGACATGGATACATACAATTCTTCGAATATTTATCCTTTTGTGCCTGATTATGTTCCAATGCCATTGCCAATGAATCATCTTTCTGGATCAGGAAATGTCCATCTGGGCAATTTTCATTTTGGCAATCATATGTTGCCAAATGGTGCGAATATTCAGTCTTCGATTCAAGGGCAGCCAATCAGAGAGTGCCACACTAAGATTCTGAAGCCAAAAGAGGAGCAGAAGGATAATAATAATGATGATTTATACGAAGCTTGCCTGTCCGTTCCCGATCATGCAAATGCAACATCATCAAGAAGTTTTTCTAGGGCCATAGAAAATTTCCTATCTTGACCAACAATTTTCTCTTGGCTATTCCAAACCATGTTTAGGGTAGTGGGAACTCTCCAATGATCGTCACAGGCACCATTCTCGTGCAATTTGGTGATTAAAGTGTCTTTTCCTTTGTATTCTTTCTGCATAAGATGCATAGAACTCTCTGTAAATATTCTTTTCCAAACTTCACATTTTTGCTATTCTGCAGTGTGAAGTAAATTAATGAATTTGTAGTTTTATGCTGTCTCTCAGTGTCTGCACACGCATACATATACAAACAAATATGGAGATGAATTCCAACATTAGACTAAATTGCTATTTGATATGCATAGGGTGGTCGTACATAGCGTTGTCAACACCTCTTGTCATACTATAATATAGAGAAGATGGTTTCAAGTTCTTGTTTCAGGTGAGAAAGATAATGTGGGTTATCAAAAAGAAGTTGATACCATATTTCTAATACAACTATAGTAGCAAGTATTTACATCTGTATGCTATTGTGCAAAGTGCATTAGAGTCGAGGTTTATGATTTTATCTAATTACATAGAACGCAAGAAAAAAATAGCTTGTGATAGAGAAATGTGTTGCTCTCAAATGTACACCGACTATTGTGGCCATGAGCCTCAACGTGTTTCGCGCGGGTAATCGCTAACAATTAAAAAGGGATCAGACGATTGTGTAAGGAACAAATCTCTTGAGACAAAGTCCCAAAAAAGGGTGTTTTATTGACAATGACTTTACAATTGGAACTTAAACAGAATGCATCTAAGGGGCGCAAACACACGAGTAGTAAAAGAAATGTTTAAGTCTAATCTAAGAAATTGAAATTACATATTCTCTGTTTGAGAGTGTTTGATTCGGGGTCTTTGCTCTATGTCTTTTCTTCCTTTTATATTCCCTTAATACTCTCTTTGTGATCAACCGCTTAGAAATCGCTTAATTGCTAGTTGCCCACTTTTTTCATGGTGGCCAACTTATCGTGGAACTGCCGTCTCTAACTGCTGTCATTACTCTTTGTCGTTCAACCGTCCTCAACTGAACATCCTTGAATCGTGGAACGTGATAAGTTTACCCAATAACTGCTTCGATAATTGCACTTTTGGATAACAATAACGTCTTATGTTTGCTAAGATCTCGGGCGATTCGAAGGTTTGGGCTAGAACAGGGTCATAACTCTGGGCGACTGCAAGGCACTTCATTCGCTCAGATCTTGGGCGTCTTGCAAATTTGGGCGATGGTAT